TTTGAATTTGAATTTGACCACCATGGCCCCATCTTGAAAAATCACCAAATTTTTACTCCATTATAGTAAGACTAAGATAAGAAAAGCAAAAAGGAATAATGAACTGAAGATAGCAAGGGAGGCGAAGGCAAACCTAAAGGAATTCTATCAAATGGATCAAACTAAAACACGAGAAAAGATTGGATCAATACAGTCAGAAACCGGCGAGCTAACTGATAACGACGGAGAAATGAGCAATAATCTGAATAAATATTTTTCAACAGTTTTCACCAGTGAAAATTTAAACATGATACCCGACTAGTAACGATGTTAGAAAGCAAATGGACAAACTAAAGCCTAATAAGTCACCTGGTCCCGATGAGATATTTACCAGAGTATTAAAGGAATGTTGTTAAACATGTCCTTAAAAACGGGTGTAGTACCAGAATCCTGGAAGATAGCAAATGTAATTCCGATTTTCAAGAAGGGAGATAGATCAATATCCTCTAACTACCGACCAATCAGTCTAACATCAATTGTAGGCAAATTGCAGGAAGCAATCATTTCAAACTCTATTCGAAATCGGCGCTGCCAGCCCGGTCTGTCGGGCCCTCCCCACCCCAATCTCCTCCTTCCCATCTGGATTTATCAACATCCTCACACCAACAGTACCGTGCAAGGATTGACGATCAACCCACAAGTGATATACAAAAGTAGCAATTTTACCTCGAAGGAAAAGCACAAAAACACAGCAATACTAAGTGTGGCTGGATCTGACCTAACCTGACCCGACCTCACGGCTTCACCTGACCTAACCTGAAGGATGGAGCACACCTGCATTGCCCCAAGCTACTGTCCTGTCCACGTGGCCACACACCTGCCCAACCGCATCCAGCCCATACGAGCACGAACTGATTGCTACAAGAACAGCCCAGTCCCAACCATTGTAAAAATTATCAACACCTAATTATTATATATCTTATTTGTATCACTTATATTACGTGGACATCAATTGTAAATCAAGAGACCCCATTCCCCAATTATGTAATTGTATATTTTCAGCCTTCCGGCTGCCATGCTCTTTCAATAAACCGTTAATTATTATTATTATTATTATTAAATTGATCAATGATTCACAACATGGCTTCACAAGCGGGCTTTCATGTCTAACTAATCTATTAACATTCGATTCATCTGTTTTCGAATCAATGGACGAGGGGCACAATTATGATATGGTATATCTCGACTTTAACAAAGTCTTCGACAGAGTCCCCTACGAAAGACTAATAAGAAAAGTGGAGGTTCATGGCATTAAAGGTGATATTAAAAAATGGATTAGGGCGTGGTTACAGGACAGGAAACAGCGAGTGAGCATTAGCGGTACTAAATCCCATTGGAGCAACGTCACTAGTGGAGTTTACTAAGGCTCAGTACTCGGATCATTATTATTTATTATATACATAAACGACATAGGTATCGGCGTAGACAGCAACATAAGTAAATTTGCTGATGACACTAAAATAGGGCATGTAATTAAATCTGACAATGACTCCGAAAAAACTGCAGGAAGATCTAAACAAATTTTTCGAATGGTCTGAAAATGGCAGATGAAATTCAATGTGGACAAATGTAAAGTACTCAGTATAGGAGATGTAAACAGGGAAACCAGATACCAGATGAACAAAGATGTTATTGAGAAATCCGACTGCGAGAAAGATTTAGGAGTAATGATAAGTAGGAATCTTAAGCCAAGTAAACAATGTGTATTTGCTCGAAACAAGGCTAATAGAGTACTTGGGTTCATACAAAGGAGTGTAGTTATAAGACTAGCGAGGTCATTTTAAAACTATATCTTGCACTTAAGAGACCCCACTTGGATTATGCAGTTCAATTCTGGTCACCCTATTACAGAATGGATATAGACTCCTTGGAAAGAATTCACAGGGGAATGACAACATTAATCCGGGGCATTAGGAACCTTGAGTACAGAGACAGGTTAAAGCTTCTTAATTTGCACTCCCTCGAGAGACGTAGAGTGAGGGGCGATATGATCGAGGTGTATAAATGGAAGTCAGGGCTGAACAAAGAGGACATTACAAAGGTACTCAAACTATCCAACCAGGAGCGAATTCGTAACAATGGTTTTAAATTAGACAAATTTAGATTTAGGCGGGAAATAGGTAAACATTGGTTTGGAAATAAAGTAGTGGATGAGTGGAACAAGTTACCAAATATCATCATTAACTCGAATACACTGGATAGTTTCAAACATATGTTGGATGAATATATGAGCAATAGGGGTTGGGTGTAAATGGGACTGCCCAGTATGGGCCAATAGGCCCGCTGCAGTTTCCTCCATTCTTATGTTCTTATGTTTTTAGACTGATTGGTCGGTAGTTAGAGGATAGTGATTTATCTCCCTTCTTGAAAATCGGTATTACATTTGCTATCCTCCAGGATTCTGGTACTACACCCGTTTTTAAGGACATGTTAATAACTTTGCTAAGGGCATACTAAGCTCTTCCTTACATTACTTTAATACTCTGGCAAATATCTCATCGGGAAATAAAACAACACCCAAGCACCCCACATAACACCCACGCACCGTACATAACACCCACGCACCCCATATAACACCCACGCACCCCACATAACACCCATGCACCCCACATAACACCCACGCACCCCACACCCCACATAACACACCACCCCATGCACCCCACATAACACACCACACATAACACCCACGCACCCCACATAACACCCACGCACCCCACATAACACCCACGCACCCCACATAACACCCACGCACCCCACATAACACCCACGCACCCCACATAACACCCACGCACCCCACATAACACCCACGCACCCCACATGCACCCCACATAACACCCACGCACCCCACATAACACCCACGCACCCCACATAACACACACGCACCCCACAAAACACCGTCACATTCATGGAACACACCCACACCTTACAGTGAGGTTGAGGCAGCAGCAACAGTCAAGGTTCCGTCACTTTCCCGCTGTCACCATCTCTCTTCCTCCCAGACCGTCTGCGTCTCCCTCCCAACTTAAATAATTTTATAAACCAATTATTTAAAGTTTGAAAAGTTGTCGTCACAAAAATGAAACAAGTCGTGGTAGCACATGCTTTCAAAGGGAAGCTCAACGATAGCCTGATAAACAACTCAACAATAAACAACCAAGATCCGAGTGCCCAATGGGGTCCCATCAAAGCCGTCATCACAAAAATCTGCAACGAGACCCTCGGCCAAATCAAAAGAAAAAAACAGGATTGGTGTGACGAAAATGACACGGAAATCGAAGTACTCGCCACTAGTAAGCGTGCTGCCCTCACTGACTGGGAGAACAATCCTAAATCTCGGACCAAAGCTGATACCTTCCACGAGAAGAAGGCGGCGGTCCAGTGAGAACTTCGCAAACTAATAAACGAATGGTGGAAAAATATAGCGTGTGAAATGCAAACATTTGCGGATCAACACAAAATGCGTGAATTTTTCAGTTCCGCTAGAACAATATATGGCCCAACTACTCATGGCGTGGTCCCCCTCCGCTCATCTGACGGTAACTCCCTAAGTAAAAACGAAGGCATCCGTCAATGCTGGAAAGAGTGCTACCATTCGCTGCTCAACTGAAACACCGATGTAGATGTTCCGACAACCAAGCAGGTTCCTCAGTACCTTGAGCTGACCCACCTCAGCTATCCTCCATCCCTGGATGGGTAGCTACAGCCATCAGGCAGATGAATATTAACAAAGCCACAGGGCCTGATGGAATCCTAGCCGAGGTGTATAAAGTAGGAGGGCGGTTGACCTCTTCCTGGAGGGCCTTCCATATCCTGGCAGCATCAAGAGTGTGGTACACACCTGGCGTGGCAGGTGGGGAAAAAAGGCCAAACAACAGGGCCCTACGAGCCTTCCAACTACACTGACCGCCACTTTCTCCCAGACACCAGGTTTCATGTTCCCCAACGTGAGGGCCCTGCTCATGATCCTGTGCACCCTGTCAGTAACAACATGCTCTGCTGAAAGATCTTTTAGTGGAATGAAAAGAATAAAAACACCATTCATATCAACAATGGGAAATGAGAGACTGACAGGCCTGACACTACTGCACACGCACCGAGATATACCAGTAGACATAAACCAAGTAAATGACACATTTATACACAGAAATCCCAGGAAGGTGAAATTTGCAAATATACTTGATGAAAAGTGAAAATGCTTTATGTTTGTGCCAAAAAATATTTTAAGCAAATTTTATGACCTCTATTATCTTTTAATATCAGTCTACATATAAACATTAGGATGCAAAATGATAAAATGTGTTACACAGTAAATTATTTAAAGTATTTGTGTATATACTGTATTTAGTGCAATAAATAATTTTTTTTCTTTTTTCTTTTATCTATATCGTATAACCACTGGGACGCAAAATAATACAAATGTGTTATAACACATTTTTATTAATTTGTGGGTGCACCACCTGCTTCCCCTCCGATTGTTTCTATTGATATACAGTACTTTATACCTATATTATCTTTACGCTTTTGTCATTGTCTAGTACTATATTTGTTTCCGTATCTTTCAGTCTTTATTTGCCCATCTCAGATTTTGATGGAAAATATATATTTCTATTGTTTGAGTAAAATGACTATAATAGGTAAATAAACTTTTTTTTGTCATATTAATGATTCATTCTTTTATTACAAGTACAAGACATATAATTGCGCTTTATATTAACATTTGGGTATTAATTTTATTTATTTTTTACAATTTCCCGGCTTATCACTTTGCTAGCCGACTATACAGTAGGTAGTAGACAGTTATCAAACAGGGAGGTACTGCCGCCTGGGAAGATGTTAGAAGCATAATGTGCTGTCTAATGGTCGACCTTGCTGCCATATGGCATCACAAAAATTGTGACCAAGTCCCAGGTTGCTGATCTGACTTTCTGCCTCATTTATACACAATTGCAGGGCCCCAATTGTTTCGCTTACTTTGACAACACAACATTCACACTGTATATCGTTTCTCACTCTATTTCTTTTTTCGTTTTTGTATTTATTTATGGATTATCAGCATCCTAGTAGAATTTTTAATCTCTATTTTTTTCTATATCAACAATACGGTCACATGAATTTTGAAAACTAATTTTCTTCAGAGAGAGGCACATCATTTTCTCCTCCGTTTTTTCAGCATTCCATGGTGACGGACATACCTTACCAACGCTCTTATACTTCAAACATACCTTTGCTTCATTGGTAATGGCCCGGGAATGGTCAACAGGGAGCTTCTTACAGCTGGAATACAATCTCTGGAATTCCTCCTTACTTAATTCCAGTATGAATTCCACGCTGTGTTCATGGTGGCTCTTGGCGACACTGTTAAACCTCCTTGCGTTGGTGAGGTGCCAGTCCTTACCGCTAGGATCTCTGAACCACGGACCACCCAGGATATTGGCGTCATATCTCGGAAAGTAATGATCATAATTTCTTTTGGTAAGGAGGAGCCGAGATATGTTGGATGTCTTAAAGTCCACCACGTCCACGAAGTACACTCGGGGACGCACTTCTTTCATGAACTTCTTAAAATCGACCTGCAGTCTGACGTTGCCGTACCAATCGTGAACTTCATCGTCATCGATTATCCCAAAAAACAAACCATACACATTACTCTGTTGCGTGCACAGGTATGTGAGGTGCTTTGGTTGAATGTTCGTTGGTTTCAACCCTTCTTTCGTTATATCCTCATATTCGCTGAAGTGTATCGTCCTGGAGATGTTTGTGAATGGTTTGTAGTCCTCTAGTGAACGGTACAGTGTATGTGGTCCGTTGGGCAGTGGGAGGCGTGGGCCTGGAGCAGCAACAGGCAGCCAACAGGTTTGGTTCTTACCCTCGAAGCAAGGTATGTCTGTTGGTCTCTGAAAAGTAAACAATAACATATAAAAATTCTTAGCATAATATTTTATATTTAGATAAGACAGACAGGAGAATAAGGTGCTAGTAGAAAGGTAATTAAATTATTGACATACTGTACTGTATACTGTACAGTACGACATGAAATTATATAATTATACATTTTACAGTAAATCACCATTCACTGACTCCACCAAAAAAGAATGTATTACTAGAGAATAATGTTTCATTGTGTTATTTTCTTACTGTTGTATGCTGTATGTTACTTTATTTACATTGTTACTGGAACGATGCTCACTTATTCCATAATTATATATCATCTTAACTCACGTAAATTATTATGTTTTAATTTTAGATTTAAAATTAACTCAACTTACCATGTTATTCCTAACTGGTGGGGGAGGAGGGCGGTTCATCTTCCATCCTCCACCATCAACAAAGTCTGCTGACGTGGGTAGTAATGGATGCCAAAACTCTCCACGTAGACAGCCATGGAACATACCACAGGAACTCAAACTATAGTTTCCTGCCATCTGTAATGTACTGTCAGTCCTCAGCATAACACAAATTAAAATCAGGGAAGTCAGACAAAAATGAGACCACTTTACTCTGTAACACATGGCGCATTATCACCTTACTGCTCTAAAATATTCTTCTGCTTGACAAATATTTATCACCAACACCATTTAATTTTCATTTAGGTTTAATTAAAATAACTTTGAAATATATTTTAATGCTTAAGTAAAGCTAATAATATAAAGATAACAAAATAACCATGTTAATTATTAAAATAAAACAATACTTTACGTATTAGTGAAAAAAATATATCCTTAACCGGCAACACAATCTCAATGAATGATGTCTTCAAATGTGAGTAAATTAAGCCTATTCCTTTTTTATTTGTTTAAATTATGTGTGTATTGCCATTTAATTGTTATAATCAGCCTTATACAGCATATCGGTACTTTATAAAGCCAGCGAGATGAATTTGCGTACGCACTCATTAGTTCTTACAACAGTGGTGCTAAACGTACGATAAATTCATCTTCGACACGATGTACGATACCAGTTTCTATTATCTTACGGTTTGTACGATAAATTTGGGTTGAATGTAAAAGGGTATTCAGCAAAATTAATCTCCTCAAAACCAAACAAAGAAATGGGCTAAAAACTAAATCAGAAAATGTGACACAATTGTCTCACAGCAGCCACCAGGCGGCAGCACAACACAGTCTTTAACTCTCGCCAAAACCCACACTCGCTTCACTTTACCAGACTTACTTTTACTCTAACGGTCTTTCCTTGTTTTTAAATTCTAAGTAATAATACATTAACTTGGATCTCTTTTTTAGCCGCGGTATGAACATTTTTAATATTAACTGGCTCTAATCTCATCCATGCAAAGTTGCTATAGGTGGCTAGATTTTCTAATCTTTGTTACATCTACCGACACTACACTTGCATCGTTACAAGAGAACACATACACTGAACTTCAAGTAAAATAAAAAAATGTTGAATACACATAACTTACCTTATACCAATAAAATAAATGACACTTCTCTAGGTTTTTTTACTGAGTGACTTTACAGTACAGCTTCAAAGTTGCAAGACTACTGACGGTCGCTTGGTTGTGCATCTGTATATATATATATAGCCTCGGTTTCACACGTTAACACACGTACAGTTCATGCTGAAACGTTTTGCGCTTCTTGCATCATGTTTCATCATACTATTTACCCTGGCCCGCTTACCTGCGCTATACGGTCGGACATGTTAGTTAACGTAAAATCATACAATTCATATTACGCTCAATAGCCCATAAGACATGTACTTCAGACGTTTTATCACAGCTTCAGTACGCCTGAGACCTCCGTTTTCTCTCCTGCACCTCAGAGACCAAAGCTACGTAATGTAGATACTCCGTAGCGCGCTCCTGATTAATGGCGGGAAAAGTTGTGTCGGCTGTTTGTTTTGACTCTTGAGCAGGGCCACATTCACAACGGTGCCCGAGGAGCCCGGGCCGGGGGCCCTGGATCCAGGGGTTCCGTGAACTTGCAAATATTTGTTATAATAATAATAATAATAATAATAATACAGTAATACTAATGATGATAATAATAATAATGTAAAATTTGCAGCCCATTACATTGCAGCATGAATCGTAAATGTTTGCAGTACTGTATTGTGTAAAGACACATTATATTATTTGTATTAGTAATAATACTAATAAATATGTATGCTGGTATTTCTCATTTTGCACTATCTTTTCGTCTAAATATGAATGTTAGTGCACACACCCCACACCCACCCCGGAGCAGAAATACGCCGCGTCAACAGTCACCCGTTCATCTCGTTGTGTACACGTTCCATCGCCACATAAGTGCTTGGGTGTGTTGTGAGAGCTGCTCGGCGTGACACTCATTGATTACATAAGATTAGATTAGATTGCCCCCGAGGGGGCTAGTTTATTGGGCACCCCCTTACATCCTGGGCAAGGTGAAGCGCAGGCGTTTACAGCGCCCATCTGGGAAGCATGCTAAGGGTCATAGGTTTTTTCAAGTTACATAAAGTGACAGAATGATGAGTGTGTGGGGGGGGGGAGGGGGAAGTTCCCGGTACATTTAATCTGTTTATGGCAAACCGTGGCAGGTCCCTAATAATGTCAAGTGCCAGGCCTGTCTCTAGGAGGAGGCATATCTGGTCAGGGAGGGAAGAGATGTTGGTAAAACCTGGGAACCTGTAGGAAGAGGTCATAGGGCAAGTGAGGATGTAGTGAGAGAGGGTGTGAGAGTCGGGTTGGCCACAAAGTTTACAAACAGTGCGGCCAGGCTCAGGGTTGCCAATGTACTCCCATAGGTACCTGTACCTTAGGCGCAGTCTCATGTACAGTCAGAAACCATAATCTCTGACTCATTAGGTTGAGCGGTAAGTGAGGCTGGGGTGGTGTTTCTGGTCGGCGGCTCACTGCAATGGTCCCGTGGCCAGACACAGGTTGAACAGGCGAGGCCATAGTTCAACAAAGTATACAGGAGAGGCTATAGTTCAACAAAAGTATGGAGGAGAGTTCTAGCTGGGCACCGCGGACAGAGCCAGGGTAGCCAGTAAGTCTCCATAAGAATATTTGATGTTAATGATATTTTTTTATTAAAAATGATATTGATCATGTTAACGATATAGGTGTAAGAAAATTCTCATTTTAGTCAGTTGTTCATTACCATTTCAGCATTAACATTAGTGTCTTAGTAAAATGATAAACCAAAGTTATGCAAACTGAAACAACAATAATTTATATTTCAACAAGTAATATTGACAACTAATATGTCCTTTAAAACTGATGTTAGGAGTAATATCACAATCAGTGTGGTGATTAATGCGATGGTGTTTGTGATGATGGTGCTTCTCTGTGTGGTGAGTGTGATGATGGTGCTTCTCTGTGTGGTGTTTGTGATGATGGTGCTTCTCTGTGTGGTGTTTGTGATGATGGTGCTTCTCTGTGTGGTGAGTGTGATGATGGTGCTTCTCTGTGTGGTGAGTGTGATGATGGTGCTTCTCTGTGTGGTGAGTGTGATGATGGTGCTTCTCTGTGTGGCGGTGGTGCTTCACTGTGTGGTGAATGTGATGATGGTGCTTCTGTATGTGTGAGTGTGATGATGGTGTCATGATGGTGCTTCTGTATGTGGTGAGGTGATGATGGTGTTTCTGTATGTGGTGAGTGTGATGATGGTGCTTCTGTGTGTGATGAGTGTGATGATGGTGCTTCTCTGTGTGGTGAGTGTGATGATGGTGCTTCTCTGCGTGGTGAGTGTGATGATGGTGCTTCTGTGTGTGATGAGTGTGATGATGGTACTTCTCTGTGTGGTGAGTGTGATGATGGTGATTCTTTGTGTGGTGAGTGTGATGATGGTGCTTCTCTGTGTGGTGAGTGTAATGGTGGTGCTTCTCTGTGTGGTGAGTGTGATGATGGTGCTTCTGTATGTGGTGAGTGTGATGATGGTGCTTCACTGTGTGGTGAGTGTGATGATGGTGCTTCTCTGTGTGGTGAATGTGATGATGGTGCTTCACTGTGTGGTGAGTGTGATGGTGGTGCTTGGTATAGTGAGGTGATGATGGTGCTTCTGGTATGTGGTGAGTGTGATGATGGTGTTTGCATGTGGTGAGTGTGATGATGGTGTATGTGGTGAAAGTGTGATGATGGTGCTTTCTGTATGGTGTGTGTGTGATGATGGTGCTTGTATGTGGTGTGATGATGGTGCTTCACTGTGTGGTGAGTGTGATGATGGTGCTTCACTGTGTGGTGAGGTGATGATGGTGCTTGTATGTAGAGGATGATGGTGCTTCTATATGTGGTGAGGTGGATATGTGCTTGTGATGGTGCTTCTGTATGTGGTGAGTGTGATGATGGTGCTTCTGTGTGTGGTGAGTGTGATGATGGTGCTTCTGTATGTGGTGAGTGTGATGATGGTGCTTCTGTATGTGGTGAGTGTGATGATGGTGCTTCTGTGTGTGGTGAGTGTGATGATGGTGCTTCTGTATGTGGTGAGTGTGATGATGGTGCTTCTGTGATGTGGTGAGTGTGATGATGGTGCTTCTGTATGTGGTGAGTGTGATGATGGTGTTCTGTATGTGGTGAGTGTGATGATGGTGCTTCTGTATGTGGTGAGTGTGATGATGGTGCTTCTGTATGTGGTGAGTGATGATGGTGGTGGTGAGTGTGATGATGGTGCTTCACTGTGTGGTGAGTGTGATGATGGTGCTTCTGTATGTGGTGAGTGTGATGATGGTGCTTCACTGTGTGGTGAGGTGATGATGTGTGTGGTGAGTGTGATGATGGTGCTTCACTGTGTGGTGAGTGTGATGATGGTGCTTCACTGTGTGGTGAGTGTGATGATGGTGCTTCTGTATGTGGTGAGTGTGATGATGGTGCTTCACTGTGTGGTGAGTGTGATGATGGTGCTTCACTGTGTGGTGAGTGTGATGATGGTGCTTCTGTATGTGGTGAGTGTGATGATGGTGCTTCTGTATGTGGTGAGTGTGATGATGGTGATTCACTGTATGGTGAGTGTGATGATGGTGCTTCTGTATGTGGTGAGTGTGATGATGGTGCTTCTGTATGTGGTGAGTGTGATGATGGTGCTTCTCTTTGATATATCTCATGTCTTATGGAGCCTCTGTATCACATAGGCTTTTGTATAGAGACATTATTAACAACTAATTACAAGAATTTATTAACTTTATTAGACAATACTTTTAAAATAGTATAAAAATGTTCATGTGTTTCTGTGTGAGTCACTTCATGAAACTCTCTAATTATTTCCTTGCTGGCCATAGAATAATGATGAACCACTGCTGTGTATCACATCATTACCTTGTCCCCTTGGCAAGTTATATTCATGTGTTGTCAAAAAATTTAAACATGTCATGACAGGATATTTCTTCCACACACCACCTTCTCTCCTATTCCCTTCCCCCTGTTCTTGTTTCTAAGCCACCCGTGTGTGTGTGTGTGTGTGTGTCTGTGTGTGTGCGTGCGTGTGTGTGTGTGTGTGTGTGTGTGTGTGTGTGTGTGTCCGCCAAATAGGGATAATGGAATAATCTTTTTTCATTGTTATGACAATGTAAATTAATTTGCATATGAAAAAAAATGCTGTTTCATAGTAAGATGTCTTTTACAATCATCATATATTCAAATTATATATACCTAAAGTAGGTTACGTTATATTTCGTTACATTTCGTTACATATCATTACGTTACGGACTTTACGTTATGTTACGTTTTGTATGAAGCTATTAATTTATATGTTTTATTAGAAGTGAAAAATCATAAATATTATATTGGATTGTCGGCCATTAACTTGATAAAATTTTTGTATTGACCAATACATGATGCCTTAATGAGCCTTAAGACATTGGTGCTGAGTATAGAACATTCCGTTTTTACTGTAAGGCTGCTTTAATTCTCTGACGCTGTTGTACACAACCGACTTGGATGCTCCCACGGGTGTAGAGGTGAACCAATAGCCTCCAGGCTGCTGGCACGCCGAACAACATTGATGGTCATTAAAATTTTGATTACATAGGCCGAAAGAGATAATTACGTAATACTACTGTGGGAGACCCAGGTGATACTTCCAATCAGGGGTGAAGGAAACACACTGGTGTCAAGTTCGTAAGTTCTATTTCTGGGACAAACACACAAAAGGAGTTAAGACAGGGGAAACAGCGTCCTGTCTTGGAATCTCTCCCGGTATCTCTATCTGCGCATGCGCGTACAGCGCGCATGTGCCTAAAACATGAACTAACATTCAGTGACAAAAGGGAGTATGATTATAACATATAATACAGAGACCTGAATCAATAATGGTAAATAGTACAGTTACATATTACAGCATATTCGTCTCATATATCTACAACTACTAGCATGTATTGGCAAGGGCAGCCCAGAACCTTCAGGAACTCCGCCGAGTGGGTCCCATAGGCCACCCTTCTTCGCCGACCAGCAAGGACCCCTGGTCTCACCTACCGCTCGACCCGAGTGGGCCAGTAATTATGGTTTCTGAATGTACATAATCTGTTGAGATCGAGTGAGGGATTCATACTCTTTGTAGTGGCGGTTGTCGTT